GTGCCCCTGCGGTACGGTACATGGTTAATTTTGTAATTATGTACTAGGGTTTTCTATTATAAATAGAGATGTAACCTAAATCTATTATCATTGAATAAAAATTTTCTAACGCCGCTTAGATACCGAAGACGTAAGCACATTGTCCGATTTATCAACAAGCTTGATGGCTTTGATGCTCGTGGAAACATTAAAGTCCTGATGGCAACAAACATACCAGTTAACAATCCGAACCAAATCTCTTGAAAGAAAGAAAAGAAATTATTGCTTATCATTCGCTTTCAATTCCTTCACCCATCTCCCGAGAATGCTTCAAGAACACTGTCCCCTAGCTCCCTTCTCTCGTGTTTGTCCTTTTCTTGAACGTTTCTGCCGCTGTCACCCCATATTTTCTTGCTTTCCCATTCGGATTCCGAGAAAATTCTTTGGGTTTTATTTTTTTGTTCGTTTTTGGAACTACTGCCCCTGTTTTGTTTCTTTATAGACTTTCAGATAAGCATACATAGATGGGTATTTATCTCCGCACCCCCAAAACTCAGAAATTCTCAGAGGATGGAGAGAATGACAGGGTTAGATATGGGATATCATCCATACAGGGATGGCGTGCAACTATGAAAGATGCTCATGCTGCATATCTTGTCTTGATCTCGATGATTCGGCTTCGTTCTTTGGGGTTTATGATGGTCATGGAGGCAAGGTTGTTGCAAAGTTCTGTGCCAAGTACCTTCACCAGCAGGTTCTCAAGCATGAAGCATATGCAGCTGGTGACATAGAGACATCACTTCAAGGAGCATTTTTCCAAATGGATGAGATGATGCGTGGACAAAGAGGATGGAGAGAATTAGCTATTTTGGGTGATAAAATAGACAAGTTTACTGGCATGATTGAAGGGTTGATATGGTCGCCGAAGGTAGTGACGGGCCCTCACTCTGACTTTTCTGGACCAACTTCTGGGAGCACAGCGTGCATAGCAGTTCTAAGGAACAACAAACTTCTTGCTGCAAATGCTGGTGATTCTCGTTGTGTGATATCAAGAAAGGGACGTGTCAATGGCAGTTTGAATCTTTCAAGAGCTATAGTTAATTTACTGCCCTGCTCGATAACTATAAATAATAAAGGTACTAATTGAACTTGCTGATTTAGTACGTAGGTTTCCAAAAGATAGAGGTGTACACCATTGGGCACAAAGTGCTAGCATTATTTCATAATTTTTTTCGATATCGTTTCTAATATTTATTTGATATTTATTTATTTATTTTTTATTGTACAATCTAACATTTTTGATCTTTTAGATAAATTTCAATCAATCAGTGGTAAGTAATTTGAATCGTTTTTTATTTTAATTTTATTTTAAATTTTTGTAATTTAATACAACCGACAAATTAATTGGTACCAAAAGGGTGGTTCAAGGATGCTAATTCTTTCTTGACCGTAACCGACTCCCGAACCCAACACATTTCTGGTAAAACGCAGATCAGGTAAGATGGTGTCCGATCAACCTAAAATTGTTTTTAAATGATCGGTGGCGACTCTAACTCAGTATTTCAAGTCGAATCACAATTCCGGGCCCAATCGAAACACGACCGCGACAACTTCTAAATAATACTTTTAAAAATTCTTTTCTACTACATTTTTAAAAGTCATTTTTCAAAAAATCTACTAAGCTAAGTTGGCAAGAAGAAAGGCTTCTATATAATTAATATTTTTTTTAAATGGGTCAAAGGGTGCCAAATCAACTTCCTGACTGTCGCATGCTAAAGGATTAATAGTCGATGAATGGTCAAATGCTATTGTTAGAATCCAACGTTATGAAAACATGAAACCTTAATGAATAGCTTAACTACAAGATAGAAAAGCTTGATCTCCAAGCAATTATTAGGGTTGATGAATGGTCACTTTCTAGTGATATTCAAGTCATTTCATTGTGTGAACATATAATATACATATATATAGTATATAGAGAGACAGATATGCAGGGTGAGGGTGGTAGATCCATGGTCAGGATAAGCAGTGCACTTAGATATTTAATGATGTACGTATGATTTTATATTAAGGATGAATTTATAAAATTTTAAAAACGATGAATTTATAAAAATTTTAAAAAATAAAAATAGATCATTAATAGAACATATAAAAATTACGACTCTCTAACCCTGCAGATAGTCTAAGGGGACTGTGAGCAGTGCATGTGGACAGTCGTGAAGAGGATTTGTCACATTAATTTACTTGCTGGTCATGACTAAGTAAATTTAAATGTTCCATTTTTAAGTTGTTTGTCGAATTAAAATTTAAACTAAATGTTAATTACAGTTTAAAAAAAATAAAGTTTAGATATTAAAATAAAAAATAATAATAATATAGATATTAAACATGTATTTAACTAAATTATTAGTATCTTTGCAACAATATTTATTCAAATTATAATCAAAATCAGTAAAGACATTCCAATTATACTTGTATATATGGGGACAAATCAGCAAACTAAAAGTCTTGAAGAAATCCAAGTGGAAGCATTCTTCTCCAACCTAATCATGCATGAAGCTGCATATTTCTTAGATCGATCCTTCATGTTCCATGCACTCCAAATTCTATATATATAGCGTGGCAATACAGTAGACATAAATTTAAAATGATATAGCTTCACATCACAGATAGTTCAAAGTTCAAACCCCTTCTTTCTTGCCCAAGCACTGATACTGATATTGTGCTCTAACATCGTCTTTCTTCCTCTTCTGGTACACGAAAGCTCCCACACCGATAACACAAGAACCAACCAGGACACCAGACACTGCTCCATTCGCTCTGTTCCAAGAATCCTCCTCTTCTTCCGAAGGCTCGACGGGCTCATCTTCGGCCCTGTAGTTGAATGGCAGGATTGTATGCTGATTACTTGTCGGAGCTGAATCGTAAGTGTCATCGTTTGAAGGAGCCGATTGGATGTTAGGGCCTAATTCGGGGTACGAAACTGCCTCCGAAGGTGCCGGGACGACGTTGTTTGGTTGGGAGTTGTAGTCATTAAGTTGAGGTACATTTTCGGGATTTTCGGATACGGTGTTGGAATGAGGAGATTGATTTTCTTGAGTGAAACTTCCGTCGTCTGAGGTTTCGAAAGCCGGGGTGTCGATGTATGCAGGGGGAAGAGAAGGAGAAGGAGAAGGATAAGGAGATGAAGGAACCAATGTATTGAAGAGAGGTGTTTCCTTGCACAAGATCTTCATTGCTACTCTCTTTGGTTTCAGCAACTGGAGAATCAGCTTTCGAAAGAGGCACTGATGTATTCTCTTGGGAGATACTATCCATGTCTCCGGTGTCGAGGACCGAATTATCATCGATCGAATTCGAAGAAGAAGGAGAAGTTAGGCTATTGTTGTCACCTTTGGTTTCAACAGTTTGAGGAATAGAGGTGTTTTCTTGTTCAATAACTCCAATGCCACTCCCTTTGGTTTCGGCGGATGGAGGATCGGCATTCAATCGAGGGACCGGTGTATTCTCTTGAGAGAGACTATCCATATCTCTGGTGTTGAGGACCGAATTATCGACAGCAGAAGGAGAAGGAGAAGTAAAGCTATTGTTATCACCTTTGGTTTCAACAGTAGCAGGAAGAGAGGTGTTTTCTTGGACAGTAACTCCAATGCCATTCCCTTTGGTTTCAGCAGCTGGAGGATCGGCATTCGATAGAGCAACCGGCGTATTCTCTCGAGAGAGACTATCCGTATCTCCAGCATTGAGGTCTGAATTATCAACAACAGGAGAAGGAGAAGGCTATTGTTATTACCTTTGGATTCAACAGTAGGAGGAACAGAGGTGTTTACTTGGGCAGTAACACCAATGCCGCTCCCTTTGGTTTCAGCAGCTGGAGGATCGGCATTTGATAGAGCGACTGAAGTATTCTCTCTCGAGAAACTATCCGTATCTCTGGTGTCGAGGACCGAATTATCAACAACAGAAGGAGAAATCGGGATATTGTTATCAGCATTGACAGATGGTGAAGATGCAAGCTGTTGGTCTAAGAGATTTTGTCCACCTCTGGTTTGAACATCAGTTGGATCAGTAGATTTGTTTTCAGATTCTGATGCTGTTGGAGCATATTGCTTAGTTGAATTTGTGGAAACACTATAGTTTACTAACAATGAGAGCAGTATAAACAAAGAGAAACACGCTTTGAAGGCTTGTTTAGGCATGGTTTGGATCTTAGAAATCGTAAAATTCTTGAGGATTTAAATGTCTCAAGTTGTATAACACAGGGCATTATATAAACTTTTGTCCGGGGACGAAGTTCGTTTGATGCGGAAGCCTTGTTGGTGATATTGTTTCAGCACGGAAAGATTGCAATTAATAATTCCTCAACATCAGGGTTTAATGCAATTGCCATTAAAACATTAATGCCAAGAAATTTCCCGAGACAGAAAGGTGGCATGACAAAATGAGGAAAGCTCCACCTTAAAACATGCAAAAATATGAAATCTTCACATGTAACACCACCTCTGAGTAGAGGATGCAATCAGGATTATTTTGGCAGTTCAGATCCAAACTCTCTTGGCAATTTAAAAATTGTAATTAATATTATAAACATAATAAAAATAAGGGTAAAATACACAAATAATCCCCCAACGATAGAATACTATTTACTGAGTCCCTTGAATGATGTGGAAAGTTATTATATCTCTTAACTATTAAAAATTATAAAATAATTATAACCTATTTATTATATTCTAAACTCATCTTCTCATTAAAAATTAAACCAATTTAATTGAAGTGAAATTTCTTTAATTAAATTCTAGATCAAATTTGAAGGATAAAAATATTTTCTAATTTAAATTAAATAAGAGTTAGATTTTATTATGTTAAAAATGATAATATCGATCCATCTAATTTCCATCTAAGAAGCAAAATAAAACTCATTTAAGTATAACAGAAGAGTAGTTGATTTTATAAAATTTTCAAGCATAACTTAGTACACCAAGACAAAAAGAAAAAGACAAATAAAAGGAAAGAAAACATGCAGGGATAATGATGGGGCACATTGAAAATAAGTGCCACATTAAGAAAAGCACTACATCTTCCATTACAATTTACAAATTCAGCAGTCTCAGAATGCCTCTTCACCACACTGATAAAACTTAATTCAACCATCTTTTCTTCATTTTTATGAACTTCTGGCTACAGATTCATTGCTTAAATTACATGGCCGAGCTGCTCCTGAAGGATCCAAGAGCTTTAACAGCACCCTGCCCTAAGGATAAACTGGTAATAGAATGCAGCAATGGCAGCACCAATGAATGGACCAACCCAGAAAATCCAGTGGTCATCCCAAGGCTTGTCCTTGTTCAAGATAACAGCTGCTCCGAAACTACGAGCAGGGTTGATACCGGTGCCCGTGATTGGAATAGTTGCCAAGTGAACCATGAACACAGCAAATCCAATGGGAAGTGGTGCCAACACCTTAAATCAAAATCATAATATTAAGTACTTAAGAACAAACATACTGAGTAGTTAAGAAAAAAATTGAAGAAATTTGTAGACATACAGGGACATGGGAGTCTCTGGCATTCCTCTTGGGATCAGTTGCAGAGAAAACAGTGTAGACTAGAACAAAGGTACCGATGATTTCAGCTCCCAAACCAGTTCCGGTGCTGTATCCATCAGCAAGGCTGTTGGCTCCTCCTCCATACTGATTGTAATATGATTTTTGGAATGCCTTCACCAGTCCACATCCACAAATGGCACCCAAGCATTGAGCCGCCATGTAAAGTATGGCTCGAACTAATGAAACTTTCCTAGCCAAGAATAGCCCGAATGTCACTGCTGGGTTAATGTGTCCTCCTGCATACATATAATTCACCTAAACTTTTTAGAAACAGGAGGCGGAAAAAACATACCCTTTGCATCAAACACATGGTGATGTGAATAGTTTTGAAACTTACCAGAGATACCAGCGGTGCAGTAAACAAGGATAAAGATCATGCCACCGAAAGCCCAAGCGATGCCGAGAATGCCAACGCCACCACAATCGTCACCGCCCTTGGTGGCGTCGACTTGGCTCTTGTATCCGATGACCGTCAACACGGTTATGTACAGAAACAAGAGGGTGGCGATGAACTCGGCTATGACGGCTCTGTAGAATGACCACTTTGTTAACTCCTCGGCGTCCACCAATGGAGCCGGTGGTGGATCATGGTAGTCCTTGGCTTGGAACTCACCGCCAACCTCAATGTCCTTACCCATACTTTCCCAGGAAATTCAAGTGTCAAAGAAATCCAAAATATGATTGGAATTTGAGATAGATGAGAAGAAATTGTATTAGTTAGTGATTGGAAGTATGGAAAAGCGGAGATGATGTGTGTATATATATACTCGGTGAGTGTGTTAATTTAACATATCACTGTGCCGCCCCATATTCCTAAAGATATGGTTTATTATATTGTCGGAGACCCCGCCGTGAGCCATCACTGTTTTGTTCATGGACTTTGATTCTTCGTCTCCCTCGTTGTTTCTAGTCGTTTCTATTTGCTTCTAAAGTTTTTAAAGTTAAAATTTTCGTTTTATTATATTTATATGTTTTTTAATTATTTGAAATGGGTATAAGTTATTGTCTATTAAAATAATTTTTAATTATTTTAGATTAAACGTTCAAACTTTTGGACACTCATAGTACTTAAATTCGAATATAAAAAAAATAACAATTTTTTTATCATTAAAATTGTTTAGGTTGTATTTTTATTATATTTATATGCATAGATATACGAGGCTATCCAAAATAATTGTTTTTCTAAAAATTTTAAATTTTCATAATTTAAATTTTTTATAATTTTTATTAATAAATTAATATTATTCCTAAAATTTTATAAGTTTATCCATTAATATAAAATTATATAATCGTCTCCAGACATTTATACAATCAATGATAGATTAAAGGAATGAGTGAGTACTATCTGTTTTGAAAATTTTAAAATCTCATATATTTTAAATATTTTTTTATTTATTATTGATAGTATATTTATACCCTAAAATTTTATAAAAAACATTTAATTTTTATAAATTCATCTTTTAATGAAAAAAATCTTACTTCTATTCATATAATGGTGAGTGAAAATATTATCCTTTTCCATTTTCCCTTTTTATTAGTTAGTTACATAATAATTATTAATTAAACCATTGGATGTATTTTTAATGAGATTGCTTATTTAAATAAATAAATAAATAAATATGGTTCATTAATTAGTTAATTACGAAGAGCGCAGTGCGTGTTCCACTATTACACTGGCTGTCAAAAACAGGAAGACGGAAAGTCACATTCAGCAATCAGAGCCGTACTTGATAAGTGGTTTATAAGTTGCCACGTGTCTTGAAATCAAGGATAGCGCCGTTGATTAGTTCAACGACTCTTCTCCGCCCACGTTTAATGTAGGCCCCACAAGCCCCTATATTGGCCATATTTGTTGTATATTGTTTTTAAAATGTTAACCCATGTGTAACCAATAAAAAATGTAATTATTGCTAAAATTTCTCTCACTAACTTTGTAATTAAAAGAATTTTAAATCAAAATATTTATTAGAAATAAATATGTAGTAATTAGAATTGATAAAAATTAAATTATATATATATTTTTTAATTATTTTTAAAATTAATTATTTTTATTTTAATACTTTTAATTTTCTTCTATCATTTTATATCTTCTATTTTTTTTTATAAATTTAAATTGATTACAAGGTAATATATATTTAAAGACTCTCAATCCTTTAACAATGAAGACTCGTACTCCTAGTATATGAGATATCGAGAATTCAAGACATAATAACAAATCTCTTAATCACTTAGGTCACTTGTTTGTTCTTTTAAATCATCTACTACATATACAATCGGGGTAATATTTATAAAAATTAATTAACTTGTTATTTTTATTTAAAAATAATATATTAAATATATTTTAAATCAATTAGTTTCTTTAATGATAACTTTAAAATGCTTTTATAATAATAGTGTTTTAATTAATTATTGTTTACATTAAATATAATATTTCGATTCATTTAATGTCATGAGCCAGGTATTAATAATTTAATTAATAATTAAAATAAAAATTTATTTCATACTCTTATCAATAGAGTTAAGAAAATATAAATATTATTGAATGAGTAACATATGATATTAAAAAATAAAAAATTTAGACTGTCAAATTTACTATTTAGAGTTTGGAGTCAGGTTTACAATATATAAATAATATTTAAATATTATTAAATCATTTTTAATAATCATATGATAAATGATTATTATTTGTTTTCTATATTATATAATATTTATATATACAAAACAGTGATTGAATTAGTATTAAAAGTTATTTAATTCAGAATTTAATAATATTTCGAATTAATTTTATTATATAGTTTAGTTGTTAAAAATTGATGAAACTTTTCTTAAATTACCATTATCTATTGCATTAAATAATATATCATTATTAGTAAGCAATAAATTAGGGTGATTATGTTGTACGATAGTTTTAATATGACTAAGGAAAAGTCTACCGAAAATATTAATATTTTTTTTAATATTTCTGGTAAAACGCTATTTAAAATATTATTTTTTTACCAAAATTATTAATTTCGCTATCTAAATTACCTAAATTCTGATAGAAAAATAATAATTTAGGTAGCGTCCAATATTAATATTTTTGATAAAAAAATAATATTTTAAATATATTTTACTAAAAATATTAAAAAATATTAACATTTCGTAACTTTTTTTCTCTCTAATAATATATTAAGACTATTGCACCATAAACATCCCGATAAACTAAGTCGTGTCTGAACAAGAATAAAATACAGTTCTTAAAAAAACAAATAGTATAAGAAGTATTCGTGGCTTATGTTTAGCCACGTTAAGTGATCAGAATGTGAAGGCTGATGTCGGGGTTTGAACCGTTGACGGACTAATATGTTAAAATCGGTCTATTGGATTGTCATCTTCTGCTACTTTTATAGAGCATATAATGTACGTTCAAAAAATAAATAAATGAAAGTGCATTAATGTGGCTATTATCTTCTTAGGAAAGAAAAATATTATAAATTAGATAGGTGGTTGTTGTTTAGGAATATGATCAGTACATGATGCATTGATGAATGCCTGAAGACTCAGATCGTGGAGTTAGAGACGGATAACCTTCAAGTCTTTACATAGATTGGAAGGTGGAGGAAAATTCATTTACCATGAACCACCAAGTTAGATCACAGGCTTACTGCTGCATGAGGCGTCTGGAAGTCCCTAGAATAGTTTCATTGCTGTTTCCAAGTTTATCAAAATACTAATAATAATTTAGAATAAATGATTTTTTCCCAAAAATCCTTAAATATAGTTCCAAAATAGACAGAAATATCAGCTTCTAATACTTTAGACAAAATAGACATTGAAAAACAGTGGGTTGAGGATTTTAGAGTGCATGTTTTTCTTTGCAAAATGTAGTAATAATGAAGCTGAAAGAAGAGAATGGTGTAGTGGGAGGTAGCTTTGCTTTCCCTTTACGCTGAAGGCATGTGGAAAACATGGAAAGAGGCACTTAGTCACAGGCGCATGGGGCAACAACAGTGTACAAAATGTCTTTTTCCAAAACGACACATTTGGGTAATCAAATCTGCCACACATTTGGTTGGATTTAAATTTCACACTCGAACCAAAGTACAAATAATTTTCCTAAGTTGAGAGTTTTCACACGCCAAGTTTTCCAACCTAAAAGAAAAAACACCCCCCCCCCCCCGACTCCATTTCTTTTTCACTTGAATGCAACCAAGAGAGATATTGGTTCACGTCTCTATATAATTCCAAACTCTATAACAGATTCAGGCTCAACAACAATCTCGCTTCAAAGGCTTTAGATAATCAATCCCACAACCTTGATAAGTTAGATTAAGTAGTAAAAAAAACTAGCACATTTCGACGGTCTAATTAATATCTTCTAGAAGATAATCAAAATTATCTTGAATATTTAATTTAAAATTTATCGGAGACAATGTTATCTTGAAGATACATCAAAATTCAATTAGGATTATAAGACTTAGATATTTATTTTTATCATTTGTGATAAACTATGTAGATTTAAGATTTTTAGTTTGATTGTTTTATTTAGAAATTATTTATTTTTTTTATTTAGAACTTCTAGTAGAACTTTGTTTTGGTTATTTTATTTAGGAATTAGTTATTTAACTTAGAACTGTCGAGTTATAAATATTCATTAGGTTCAACAGCTAAAACACATATTAGAATTTATATTCCCTTTGTTATTTATTGAAATTATGCTTTTCTTTATCTTTTTTTTTTCTTTCATTATTCTCTTTTATTATTTTTTTTCTACAATGCTAAGCATGATCCAATCCATACTTAGCTAAACTTCCACTTAGCCAAAAGTTTTTGCGAAACTTAATTCTAATAGTGAGAATTGAGTCTTGATCTTCATACCTTTAGATTGTATTATTCGATTCTCTATAAATTGAGAGAGTGGTAACCGGTCATTCCCTTAAAAATTATTAAATCTTCAACTCAAAAGGCGCATATTGATTTGAAGATTGTTCTACTTGAAGTTTGGAAGTCGATTCGGTTGATCGTAATTTGGCTTCATGTGAACAAACTTAGTGGCGGTTCTTTTATGGTGAATTAAAATTGAGTTTGATTTTTGGTGAGACATTATAACTCAAATTGGGTTTTTCCAAAACTTAAAGCTATTTTGGACCTAACGGCGATAGACGTAGCTAGACTAACAAGGACCGAATTTCAGGGATAAACTTGTTAACTTCGATTAACCGGAGAGAAGAGTTAATTGCTGAGGTTGAGCCCTGTTGACTGTAACCGTCGTATATCACGAAGGAAAAATTTTATTTTGATGATCGATCGAAATTGAGGCTAAACAAAACCTAAGGTTATATCATCTCTATTGAATTCTTCTACTTTATTTATTTTCTCATTATTTTTTATTCAATATTTATATTTTATTATTCACTTTCATTAATTTTTAAAATCTTCCTTTTTTTTTGCAGTTGACATTATAAAACTTTCTTAGTGCCTATGGATCGATCATACTTCTCTATACTATTTTATTTATTTATTTGAGAATTATAAATTATTTTTATTTGAAAAATTTGACGCTTGTCAAATTAGTGCCGTTGTCAGGGACTTCAGCAAAAATTACTTATCATTTCTTGTTTTAATCTATGATTGAGTCATATCCGGGAGAATTAATAGATTACGAACCAGAAATCAAAACACTTGCCCAAAGATTATGTGGAGAAACTCTTCAGCGAAGGAGATAACAACAACAATAACAACATCAATCGAAACCTAATCCAAACTCA